TCTCATGACACTTATATTGCTGTAGCTATTTCTTATACTAATATTGTATGAGATGTGTTCTTGTGTAAAGACGTTTTATGCTTGTAGTCTCACAAATATTTTTTAGAATATATTCTAGAATAATCTGATGGAATAATGACCAAAGGATTGGTATGTTGTTGCAGTAAATTCCATACCTTTATATGTAGGTTATAAGTATTTCTGCTTGCTTTAAGATAATCAGTAGTTGTTTCTATATTTATCTGTGAACTTATATGAATACTTAATTTTTCGTTATTACTCTCCCAATTTGGAGGAAAATGTTTTGTTTTGTTTTGAGCATCACTATCAGTATGATGACTGGAATTCTTAGTGGACTGTGGTTAAAGGAGCAGTGCCTAAAAAAGCAGGAGGATATGTGGGCAGATTAATTACATTACTTAAACCTGAGCTAGGCTGTAGTAGCTTTAGAAGCTGATGTACTTGGAAGTGAAATGCTATCATGGAAATGTCTGTAGAAAAAAACAAAATACTGAAAAGTACTCGATTTTTCTTTTGGTGTGCTTCAGTTCTGATTTTTTTTTTTTTTTTTTTTTTGTGGTAAAATGGGGCTGTATTATCTCAGCCTTATTAAACCAAGGCTTAAGGGTCCTGAATGTTGTCATCATGTGAAAATGGGGCATGGCAAACACCTTTCTTCAGAAAGTGAATAAACATCTTAAAAATATGCCATGAATTGAAGTGAATGAGTCAGGGTTTATTGGGAGAAGCAGTGTCTCATATAACACCAGTTTATATACCTGGAAGAAAATCTACTTCAGTGCTCTTAAGCTTATGACTTAAGTTTTGTTATACATACCAACTTTATTGATATTTTTACAACCTTTTATTGTGGTATCTTGTAGAAATGGTGTTAATAGCACGCTTCCTTATAATAAAGATATCTCCTGAGTCCTGGTTTGGTAAGGGAGGTGCAAACAGTATTTTACAAAATATGTCTGGAGGCTGAATTTTTCTTCGTCTTTGAGCTAATTAAAAGTCTTGACAGTTTTCTTAATGGAGGTTATTGCTTCCGAGTAGTCAGGACAGTTTGGGCAATGCAGTGTAGCAATATTCATTTGTATTTAGTTCCATAATTCCTGTCAACACCAATACAGCCATTGGTTTGCTGTTAGTATTTTCTCAAGTGCTGCCTCATTTTTTTTTGTATCTTAACAACTTTTTGGAATCTGTCAAAAGATGTAAAATCATGTCTGATCTTGAAGGTCATTTTCAAGGAGTCTGAGCCGAGGGTTGTTTTAATGGAATTGTGCTTTTCTTGGAAACTTACTGTCATCATTAATCGTGCTTTAGTGTTTACTGGGACAATATTCTGCCATTACAAACTTTTTTCCTAGCTCTCGAGGAAAAGATATCCCTAAATTGTTGAAGAATTTACCGATCAACTTAATGTTCACCAGACTGAGCACTAAACTAGGTTGTTGTTTAAAATGGATTTTAAACACTGAAATTACCTTAACGAATGATCTTCTGTGAAGTTACAACTATAGGCTCTACCCAGTGACGATGTAGGAATGCGGTAGAAGTGTTCCTTATTTTGTTTAGTGATGGCACTAGCTCTGAGTGAGGAGCTCCTGCCGTCAAGTTTTTGTGTGTTGATTGCCAAACTCTGTGGTCTCAACAGAAGCATCTCCCAGACGTAGAATATAATACTAGGGATCGTGTTTTCTTGCTTCAGGGTCCTTATGTGCTACAGCCCATATGTGCTGTAATGACAATGCTTTTTATAGATCGAGTGACTGAAAATTAGAAAGGACTAATCTGCAGCATTTTACCTCATGTATTACAGTGAGTGATAATTTCAAAATACAGTGATGTGGCTCTCAAGGTTTTTGTTTTCTGGTCTTTGGTCATGGAGGAAGAATTGTAAACAAAGTGAGCTGGGAGTGTCACGGTGCAAGTGGGGAAGCAGTTTTGAAAGATCAGTTGAAAAGATAAATGTTTGTTTAGGGAAAAAGCCTCAGTTTTACTTGGACAAATATACATAAAAATACTTGGACAGATTTTCATTGCTTGCAGTAAGTGCTTCAGTATCTTGTGTAATCTTGGAAGAGCAGTTGGCTCTCAACTGTAGCTAGCTGCCTCATTTTTTTTTTTTTAACATCATATTGAAATTTACCAAAAAGAAGTACAGAGGCTTTCAAAATGTGTTTTTAAATGTTGGTACCTTCACACATATATACATGCACTCTTAAGAACAGATTCTTATAGCCCTGAAGAGAAAACCGAAATTTTTAAGATGTTTGAATAGTGTGCCCGAATTAGTGTATATATTGAGCTGCTGAAGCAGCCTATATATGCTGTTTGATTCTCAAGTATATTCCTGTTTTTCAGTTTTACTGTTTTCACTCCTAAACATGGCTGTTATTTGAGTTGCTGTGTTTGAGAATATTCCCATAAACAGGGTATCAGTTTACCTCTAATGCTGATGTATTTCATTTTTTTTTAAAGTTTCAGTAACTACAGGAGGGTCTTTTTTTATAAATCCATAGAAAATGAAAAGTAGTCTAGAACTTGAAATGTTTTCATATGCAACACTTTTACTATTTATTCTATAATTCAAAAAAATTTAATTTGTATTTATGTTTTACTGATGGAACTCTTCTCTTTCTTGCCAAGTCCTAAGGAATGCCTAGATGCTCCTTTCTTCTGGGAGCCAATTGCATGTGTTGCTAAGCTTATTTGATTTGTTTATGCACATTTCAGAGGGAGGAAAACCACCTCAAAATCGTGGTCCTGTTGTGCAAAGTTTTAGTAAGAGTGTAGTAGTGTTTTTACAGGTGTTCAGATGCTCCAGTTTTAGTTATTCTGTTAAAATAGTTTCTTTGGATCCATGCTTGGTAGTGAGTTAATCTTTTCAGTGTGGATGGAAACTTAATATTCAAGAATTGTTGTTCTGAGGATCTTACAGAGAAGTGCAAACCTAGTCAAATGTATCTTATGGCATGCTTTTAATTTTTCTGGTTATATTCAAAGACTGTTGTGATTGAGTACTTTTAATTCACTCTGATAAACAATCTTTCTCTGACAGTTTTCTGTTCTGAATGAACTTCAGTATGAAAGATTGATTGCCTGGAGGTGCTTACCTGTTTGCCCTTCCAGAACTGCTTTGTCTATGTGTATGTAGATCTAAGAAAGCTCCCAAATGAAACATTTGGTTTATTTTTGAGGTTCTTTGAAAGTATGATGTAAGTGCAACTTCCTACATGAGGACATAAATGTAAAAATTTCTTGTGCAGTTGTAGATCTGTCGGGTATTGATGGTGCAGTAGGTGTGACCTTGAAATGCATGGTGAAGGTTACCTGCTGTGGAGTAGGGGGACAAGACTGGCTGCTGAAAGGGTCCCGCACGCCTCATGAGTTGAAAAGTGGCTTATGAGATAGCTGTGTGCCCTCTGCAGCAAGAGTTTATGATGAAGGTGTCAGGTGCAGCGTGAATAACTTGTATAGCTGATTTCTACTACTCTGAGTAACACAGCTGTTGGTAGAGAACAGTCCAGGTGCTGAATAATAGCAAAGGCATTTACTGGCAGCTGTTCTTGTTGGCCTGCCAACAAAGGGGAAAATACCTAACCTATTTTTCTTTTGAAAAAATAATGAAAAAATCTAACAAGTTTTGTTGATCTTGCATTTATATGTATATCCAAAATTGAGCGGTGTATGTAAAAAGGGGAAGTTTTTCTGTTTTAACTTGTTTTGTTTCTCATCCCTGGTGTTTTTAACTTCTTGTTCATGTCCTTGCTTTTAGATATTTATGCTAAATCAGAAAGTGAGAAGGTGGGGGAAGATTGATGACTACCTTTAAAAAAAACTCTTGTACGATAGTACGGCTTTACTATTGGAAATTTGTGTTGTAATAAACAATATATTATTTTCTGCATGTTTTTCAAGTTCCTCTCCTGTTTTAAAACTACTATAATCTCATGCTTGCCCAATTAAGTTGGAAACAGCAAAGTTGGAAACAGCATGAGTACTGTACTATAGCAATATATGCACCTGTAGCATAAATGTTAACCTCTTCTTAAATACTGGAAGTCAGTGTTTGTATGTAATTTTTTTCTTCTGGAGTGCGATATATATATTTTATCCTTACTCCAGTGGTGATATTTATACAGGGACACAGAACCTGGCAGCCTGCTGCTGAACAGTGTGGATCAGTGGTACTGCTGAGATCCTGAAATTACTATTTTGTTTTTTTAAGTGCCTTCTGTGTGATGTTACTGAAGCCTCATAATCCATGTGACTGCAGTAGTCCTGAAGCTTGAATCTTGTCCCATATATTACCAAGAATTTGGCTGCTTGCATTTTTTGATCTAGCAGTATTTTGCCCTTTTGGAATATCCTGGCAAACAGAAGAGGTGGAGCATCTTAAAACTGTTCCACATAGTGTAGTGTAGTAAGATATGTATTCTGGGCTTGAAACAAAGCAGCTATAAATCATAAGCCTTGTAAGGACTTTGTATTTCCAACAACTTGTGTTATGTGACATATGCGTTTTTTTTAGATCTGGGTAGATTAACTTAATTTCATAGGAACAGGGAGAAGTGGGAATCTCTTAATAGAACCAGTTAACATTTGTCTGCTAGATCAAAATTGTAGTGATGGATCATAGAGAAGAATAGATTTAGCAGATGTTTAATTTTCTGTAGATCTTAAATTTTTTTTTGCCTGCACTGAATGTGTTTTGATGGCAGTGGTTTCTCTTAAAAAATGCCTACACCTTAATGCTTGTAAAAAAAATTTTAAGATATATTAGTCTTAGTAAAAGAAGTGAAGCTTTTGCCTTTCCGTCTCCATTCTCATCATATCTTGCAGAATGATACAACATTTGCTTGTAACTTGATAGAAAACTCCCAAGATTTATTTGCAGATATGTAAGTTAAAATCAAGAGATGCAATATTGATCTTTACAATAGGAAATCTTTTCAAGTATAGTAACTACATTTTGTTTTCTTTATAGAAACCATAGCCCATTAATGAGCTTTGGAGCCAGTTTTGTCAGTTTTTTGGTGAGTAGACAGGAGGAGGGAGAATACCTCTATTTTTCTTGTGGTTAATGTTTGCATGTGTGTGTTCATAATGGTGGATACTCTGTTTCTTTTTATGAGACTTAATTTTTTCAAAGTTTTAGATTAAATGTATCTAGAAAACAAGTCATTATGTTATATAAAACTTGTTTACTCATGTGGTTTATATAGAAAGTAAAGGTCCTGTGATTCAACTGCTCAAATGAAATATTTATGTGTTCTATTAAAAGAGCCGTAATAAAACCTTCTCTTAAATGAGCAGTAGAGGTATTGTTAAAAGGATACTCTTAAATGCCATTTTCCTGATAGCTTTTGCTGTTTAAGCTTTCTCCATCCATACTGCCAGGTAAAAGTTATTAATTCGATCCATTCATGTTGCTTCCTTTTTGAATATATGAGAACTGAGAATGTGGACTGACTAGAGTTGTTAAATGCTTTTCTTTTTTATAATGTATTAAAAATTAGAATATCTTCTATAAAACTGAGCAACTGTTTTAGAAAATGTTTGGATCTTGTTTTTTAGACTGTCTTTATTCTGGCTTTGCTACTCAATCTTAGATTGCACCAGAAATTATCTATACTTTTTTCAAAGACAGAATTTGTTTTAACATGCCAGAAATAGATAAGTTGTAAATCAAATTAATCTAAATTCTCTCTAGTGTCTGTAAACTGCGCAATGTGGAAAAAATACATTGGTTAGGAAACCTCCTGGGGCATATGCTTGCTTTTAAGTCAATGGAGAGGAGAGAGGAAAGAGGGAGAATCTCTTAGGCTTGCTTATCTGAATTGATGCACTAAGCCAGTGTAGCATCACAGTGCAGCATCTGTGGATTTTGAAAATACCTTGCTTAGCTACTATTCTAAACATAGTAGCAGCACTTTGTGTGCCTGTGTCATTCAGAGCTTTCATTTAATAAAGCATCAAGAAAAGAAGTTACTTGTCTTGAAATTCTTTCTAAATTGGTTGAGCAGTAGTTGGAGTAGGATGCGGTTTTTTTTTTTTCCTTCCTACATATGTAGGAATTGTGGTTATTATTTTGAAAAATGCAATAGCTGTTACTTATTACTGACTTCAGAGGCCTGTTATTTATGGTGGTTGAATTATATAAAAGCTGTATCTGCACAGATGCAAATTGTGCCTTACGTAACAATAATTGAAAATTAATTTATATGAGTTTTTCTTCCGCTCAATGTAATGTTACAGTGCGTTCAGTTTGACTGAATATGAAGCTTTGTTAAGACAAGGGGTTGGGACTTAGTATGTTCTGAATTGTCTTGAAATTTTGGTAAACCACTCTCAAATCTCTGGTTCGGTGTTTCTGTGTAGAAGTATGTGTACTGATGTGTATGTATTAATAAGTTTTTAAAGAAAGTTTGTTGTCAAGTTTTTATGCACACTTTTACTATCCTGTAGCTTTTGTAGTACTAAAAATATTTGTGATTTTTATTATTCAAATCTGTTTGGTTTTTGGTAGAATGCTATGATGACGTTTGAAGAAGAGAAAATGCAGCTGGCATGTGATGACTTAAAGGCTACAGAGAAACTTTGTGAAAGTGAAGAAGCTGGAGTTATAGAAACAATCAAGAATAAAATTAAAAAGAATGTAAGAATGCTATTTGTAAAATATGGAATTGTGTATCGGATAAATATTTCTGGAAACTTCCTCTTCATCCTCTGTATTTTGAATAGACAATTTTTGATATGTGAAGAGCTGTTGAAATTAGTAATAAATTTAGAAATTAAGTCAAATATTTTGCTCGGATTTCTGAAGTATCAAAAAATAGTCAGGTAGTTCCTCTTCTAAAGCAGCAGGTTGTGTTGATATTAGTAATTATTTTATTAACAGCTTTTCTTAGCCTCAAATTAGTGACCTACTAAAATTATTTCAGGAAGCTTGTGGCCTGTCTAATTCAGGCTAACTTTAATTCATACATGCTCTAGTAATGTTCAAAAGCTGTGAGAATGAAGCTGCATGGTGCTGTGTACCAGGCGTACTCCTAGGGAATTTTCCTTCTTTTTTTTAGATTTTTCATTCTAAATAATGAAGGAAGAATAAAGCATGCAGATAGAGAACTAGATGAAGTAGTAGTACAGAAATGTCAGGTGACTGGCCTGCCTAGTGTGACATAGCAGATCTACAGCAGAAACAGAAGCCGTTTCTCTGCAATGTTTAGTTTACTTGATTAAAAAGTATTGAACCTGACGTACTTAACTCTCTGCTCTTAAGAAGTGCTGTATTTTCCTTGACTCTTATCATATACCCCTTTCTGTGCTCTTCTTATCTAACATCTTGTTAGTTGTGTGTCTGTTGCAGTTAGTAATAATTAAATGAAATTTGTATCTGTTCTGAGTATTCCTAGAATCTTAAGAAAAATAGCTGATAGAAAATATGTAAGGTTTCCCTGATTATTATGTAGGAGCTTGACTGATGAGCAATCAACGACCTTCTAGCATAGTTTTGCACTTCAAAATACTGCATTAATTTAGTAGCAATACTACCACTTGCAGTGAATTTTGGATTTTTTAATTTTTGAGGTTTAAACTAGTATTCTGTATTATCTTTCTTAATGTTTTTTTATGCTCTGTGTTTGTATATTCCAAACAGGTTGATGTAAGAAAATCCCCTCTGTCCATGATAGATCGTCTACAAAGACAAATAATTGTAGCAGACTGTCAAGTCTACTTGGCTGTGCTCTCATTTGTAAAACAAGAGTTATCAGGTGTGCTGTGGCTTTCATATTTACATGTATTTTTTGCATGATATCTTTTTAATAAAGTTTGATCGTAAAGTGGCAAGGTGGCTACCAGTAAAGATCGTTTTGTAAGAACGGGCACAGTTCCATTTGAAACATTCCAAGATTGGTACACTTGCAGAGGTATTGTTCTACCTTTGTGTAGGTAGTAGTATCATAAAATTAGATGGGTTGGATTGCTACAGATTACAGCTTTCCTTTTTTTTCATACCAATAATCATATTCAACTGATTCTCCTTAGATAAGTTGGAATCCTTCACATGTTCCCATAGAGGCATTTGAGGAGTTGGTACAAGGATCCTGTGAGCTTCATGTGGCCTGCAAGATAAAGGAGGTTATCAACAGCTGAAGTCCAGGCCACCTGGAAGATCCTAATGTCCCGTATGCATTGTGTTCATGACAGCTCAGGGGGATGACAGACTGCCAGTGAAAGTGATTTTAAATGAAGTGTGTTGACGATGGAACTGCTGAATCAGTTCTTATTCTCTGGTCACCAAAGTCTGTCCTTGCATGGCAAAAAGGTTAATCCTGTCACGTTGAATACAAACCTCCTCATCTTAGCTGCAAAGCTGTTTCTAATATTTTCTTATCTTCCTGGATCTCTTGCATAATCTTAAAACATGTCTTCATCCGTGAGTTTATAGAAAATGTGGTCAAGGTCATATACAAAGCGAGCGCATTCCTGGTTAATGAAGACCAAGAGATGACAGTCAGACCACATTGTCAGGGATAACCTTGCTGATCAGTTGAAAGGCATCAGGGCAATAACATTCAGGTTATTTAAAATAATGCTGGGATCTTCAGTTGAAGATGCAGTGCTTTCTGTGATGTGCAAACTTCGTTTCTTCCAAGCCATGGCATCAAGATCATGTTTGGTTCTAGCTAGCAGAAATTCAGGCAGTATTTGTCTGCTGCATGTATAGTACTGTGAAAAGGTTTTCTTACTATTTTTGATGCAGTTCTGGCTTTTCATTTGTGGGGGATTTTTTTCCTTCCTCTTGAAGCTTTTTTTCTTTCTGCAGCTGCATAACTGGGTTGGATGCTGTAACTGAGGGTGGTGTCTGTTCCCTGTCTCTTGTCTGCTGCTCAGAGAACTGAAGTGGGTAGCAGAGTATTGCAGAACATGAAGAATATTTGGGTTACTCTCCTGAGTAAAAAATATAACTGAAATCTAGTTCAAATTCCAAGCAGTTAAGTGCCACCTCAGCTGATTGCTAGTTACTGCCATTGCTGGACTGTTGGATCCATTATTTCAGTTTATTGAGTATATTGTTTCTGATTATGTATAAACATCTTCTGTTTTTATCATGTTTCTGTAGAGCAATAGCAACCAGATCATTGAAATGACTGTAATTTAAAAAAGAGCATACTTCAGAGGCAGATAAATATTTATCATCAGTGGATGGGTGAAAAATTTCTTTTATTTTTCTTCTTGAAACAGTTTGACAAGAAGCATATGATGACATGCAAGCTGCGTTTTCATATGCCTAACACATTTGAGATTTTCCTTTCCACTTTCATGGATGTATTAGAAATAGTTTCATCATAAAGTTAGTAACACAGCAACTTATATGAGCTTCCTGCAGGAATATTGACCTACCTTTTCTTGATATTTACCGTTGCTGTCATGTGTCTGACTGCTTTTGGAAGTTCATGCTGGGAAATCAGCTCAGCGATTGGGCTTGAATTAATTTTTATGTTTAAAAGGTCAGAAGTTGAGTATTTTAATTTATTAGATTGCTTTATCTTAGTATACCAAATCTATTAGGGTGATGCTGTGTTAGTGAACTGTTAATGACAGAAAACTGATGGCAGAAAAGCCTAAAACTGTACTTTTTTTCCCCATCATGTCCTTTCCATTTGATGCATGCATCAGAAGACAGTAGTTAGCTGTTAGCAAAATCTGCAGGATAAGTAAAATGTGGGGTTTTCCTTATTATTTGTCTGCTGCATTGCTATGCATAGTTTTATGAGCGTTCATCTTGTGGTGAACCACAACTTTTAAAATATTCTGTGCAGCCGAAAAGTGACCTAATTGCTTAAAACTGAAGTAACATTAGTCTTTTAATGAAGCTGAATCATGGCAGGGGTTTACATTTTTTATTATAACACTTCAATATGAAACTCAAGGTAGAGGATTTTTTTAATACTTTCAGTTCATCTTGACAGAACCTTTCTGTCACAACTGAGAGTACAAATTTTGCAGTCTTTCTCAGTGTGTTTTCTTAAGACTATGAAACTAGCTAACTTCATCCCCTCTTCATACAGTAAGAATCCAAAAAGAGGTAGTCTAGTCAGTGATGATACTTTCTCTAGAAATATTTTTTTGAAATTGGAAGGATTTTCTCAAAGATGTCAAAGGCTTATAAAAAGTAGTTTGGTATTAGTAGTGTTTTTCTATGACACACTCCACCTGTTATGATTTAATTCTCGCATCAGTTATAACACTTCTCTGCAAATTTGGTGATATCTGTTTAGAACATTGCTGCTATAATAATGCTTTGATTTTCTGTCCTTTTTTAGTCAATTCATTTGTCACTGCAGTTCCTAACTCTCAGGGCTCTATCACAGACAAAATGCTGATGTCTGCTTTTACAATTAACCTGTACAAGTGTATTCAGTGGTTTTTTTTCTGTCTACCACTTATCCAGGGATGGGCTGTAACCAAGATGAATGCTGTGTAAATAGGCAAATCAGACATCTTCATCTTTTGGTGTCATGCCTTTAACCTCCTCTAAAGAGGGTAATGAGACTGAGAATTCTCTCATTCTCAACTGAGAACGCTTAAGACCAGATTTTTAGGGAAATTTAGGTACTGAGTTTGTATTTGAAATTGAGGAAGTTAGGCAACTGAAAAATGTTTTAAAGCTGTAAAGTTTATGGAATCTTTTTTTTGTGTGTTTTTTTTCTTAGTTACAAGGCACTGTGTTCATATGAGGGGCAGGGAAATGATGGTGTTGAAAATCTTATTATCTAACAACCCAGAGGAAGAGGTTTTCCTGGTATTTTCCCATCAACTGTCTTTAACATGATTTGGGTTTAACAGCTGTAATCTCTTTGAGTTTTGCTTTTCCCTGTCTACCAGGCAGCCATTTAATCTCCACTCTATTGTGGAGCAGAATCCAGCATTCAGTTCTTTGATTTCTCTATTTCTGCCTGACAGTTGTACTGCTATGTAGCTGAAGGGAAATCCCCTTGTATTGCATGCTGTTTTAAAGTCCCTGGGTGAAAAGCTCTTAAGTTTGTAGTGCCCAATATGAAAGACCTCTTTGAGAGGACACTAACTATTACAGAGTGCTTTATACTTACTTACCATGTTCCACTTCTGAAATATGTCCTTGAAATATTTTTTTTCCTTGATTTTTAGCATACATAAAAGGTGGGTGGATACTCCGAAAAGCCTGGAAAATTTACAATAAGTGCTATACGGACATTAATATGCTTCAGGAAATGTATCAGAAGAAAACAACTCAGGAATCCTTGACTTCTGATGGTGCAAATGATAATCATATTGCTGCAGAAGGTGTAACGGAGGATTTGCTAAACAGACTGAAAGGTGCTGTTAGCTTTGGATATGGACTTTTTCATCTTTGCATATCCATGGTGCCCCCAAACCTGCTCAAAATCATCAACCTGCTGGGTTTTCCTGGAGACCGCCTACAGGGGCTTTCTTCACTGATGTATGCAAGTGAAAGTAAGGACATGAAGGCCCCTTTAGCTACGTGAGTAGCTATATTGACATGCTTTGGTAGATAACTTAGTACTAAAAGTAAGTAACTGGAAAAGAGTCAAAAACCAAAAAGTCATGTTGCTTCAAGGAAACAACAGCAGGTAAAATAAATTTGTAGTCTGTTGTTTAACATGCCATGGTTTAGTAAATTCATTACTTACTACTGTGTGAGACCTCTCTGCTGTTAGTTATTTACATATATTTGGGGTTTATGCCAGTATTTTGCTGTATTCTTCAGTACCTGCTATTCCGATCTCTAGTAATTTATATATCAGTAGAGTAAATAAAAGCATCCCCTGAAGGCTGAGTAAGTTTACGCAAGTTATATTCTCTGCTATGGAGAGCATACTATTTTGTCTGAATCATTGATCTCACGTATTTATCGTTACTATCAGCCATCTTTTTCAGTTTATTTTTAATTTTAGCATTTGAGTAAAAAGGATGTTCCCTTGTAGTCTTTCTAGTCCTTTCAGAGGAGTATTTTTTGAGTACTCTTTTTCCTAAGCCTTCATACTGCATTCAGGTCTTTTTATCAGGTGATGGGTTAGCCAGACCTAATTTAAACTGCCCTCATAAATGGGTTTATTATTGCATTATCTCAAAATTAATGCTTTTATTACTGGACCTACTGAAGGTGCCATCAAATGTTGCTTTTGAAACATTGACAGCAGAGCTAACGTATCTTCTGCTTGAGGAGAAGAATTGGATTTCTGTTTGGTTAAGAAAGCTTAAGATTAAATGTTGCTGTTGATTTGTGCCTTCTCCTTTGTGGGGAAGAAAAATGGTATTTGGTGGGTGTTTCCTCCTTCAGGTGGTCTTGGAAATCTTTGTGCTCTGCCTTTGTTTCCAGGAGCAACATCAGTTATGTAGGTGTCTGCCTTTTTGAACACCGGATGTATTTCTTTTTGACGTTGATTTCAAGTGTGTCTCCTGATGTGTGTTTAGTCTTGTTGGTTTAGTTTGGGTTTTTTTTCCCCTCTAATGAACTATTCGCTTTCTGAGTTTTCCTGTGGGGTTGTGTGTTTTGGTTTTTTAAAAATCTGTAGAGTTCTAAAGGCTCAACTGCTTTGATGTTATGACCTTTATTGTTACTTTGCTTTCGGTAATGTGCACTGAATTGTATGTTCAGGTGCAGTTTAGGAGTACATTGATGTACGGCAATAGCATTGTGTTTGTTTTAAAGCCAGGTTGTGTAAGAAAAGATTCATATCTTTCCTTGTCTTTTGGAATTGTTTAAAAATTTGCCTGCATAGAATCTTGTCCTTATATTTCTGTTTATGAGCTGTAATCCTTTTTACCCTTATTTCTTCTAGATTAGCTCTGTTGTGGTACCACACAGTTGTTCGTCCCTTTTTTGCCCTTGATGGCAGTGATAACAAGGCAGGGTTAAAAGAGGCAAAAGAAATTCTTGCAAAAAAAGAATCTGCTTATCCAAATTCCTCTCTGTTCATGTTCTTCAAGGGAAGGATACAGCGATTAGAGGTATTGCATGTTTTCTTTTTAACTGATTTCCCTCCCCGCCCCTTATTTTATGTTTTTCTGGTGTGAATGAACTGATCAAGCTTCAACAAATTGTCACTGAAGATGCAGATATATGGAAAGATAAGTAATAAGAAACGATTAACTCCTTCCTAGTCTCAAGTTCACATGCCAAAACTGCTCTTCTATTACTTCTATCTGAATTAATGGCACTTTGAAATTCTTTTTCACCTACTTGATATATTTGTAGCTCTGTGCTAAAAGGAAGTGCTTTTGGTCACTCATGAGGTTCTGGTGGTATAAATAGCTATTTAAGTTTTGCTTGTCAAGCTAAAATCTGAGTATTATCTGCTGAGTACATAGCATTTATCTTGTTCTTTTCATTTTAGGCATTGTTGGTATACAGATAATTGTCTGCAATGATTTCCCTCAAATAACTGCTTTTGCTTTTATGGAGTCAAACCAGGATGTTTTCTGTTGCTAAGGGTGAGCTGTGACCCAAACAGCAATATATACACTGCAAATGTGTTTGTGAATGCTGTTGCAGAGTGTAATTCAAACACTGCAGCAGCCTCATGGTTTTCGACTGAGTTATTGTTTAAGAATCTGTGATAAGACAAGATGCTGACGAGGACTTCACTGGGCTCCTAGCTGCTGCTTTGATAAGACCAGAATATTTCCAGAGCAATTATGTTAACAAGAAAACCCAACACAAAAGCACAAAACCAGAATGTTCAAACCCTTCATCTCAACATTGTAATTACAAGAGCTAATCCAGATCTTAATATTTGATGGTCATTCTTTGCTAGGGTTTGCAGTTAACTCTCTCAAACACAGCGTAGTATTTGAGGAGGGTAGCGACAGAAACAGAATGGAGAGTTGAGTGGCTTATCAGATTTTGCAGGCATGTTCTTGCATGGGGTAACTTGCAAGCTACACAATGAGCACAAATGCAATTAAAAATGTGGTGATTGTTAGTGTATGACTTGGTATTTGGAACTTCACCACCTCCCCCATATTTAGTGTAATGAGGAATAAAATTCAACTACTATACGATTCTTCTGACTTTCAGGGCAAGCTAGGGCAAAATTGTAAATGTAAGTTTTCAGTAAACTGATTATATGTTTCCATGTGTAAATACAGAGGGTAGGTCTGGGATGAGTGTCAGTTTTGTGTAGTCAGTCCCTTTCTGGAGTTCTGTTAGGTTTCAAAGCAGAGTTCATTGCATGTTTCCTTACAGAATTTGTGCATTAATGTGATGCGATATATAGATATTGAAGTTTAGCTCCAAGTGAAATAGTTTGTGCCAGGGACAGTTTGGCCATGTTAACGAAGTTAGTTTAAGCAGAAGAATTCTGTGCATCATGCTATGTAGCCATACCCTTAGTCAGCAAAAAGCTTATTGGTTGCTAACAGGAATTAAAACGTCCCTTGCTATTAATGTTTTTGTTTGTATGAGAGCTTTTCCATTCTGCAGCCTCTCCCCACCCACTCCCCCGGTGGCATTGCTTTGTTCTAAGTGGGACTGTATCACTGAGGCTTTGCTGTGTAATAGTGTTTTGTTTAAATGTCTTAGGCTCTTCTGTAGACTCTGTTAGGAATTTACAAGCTTAATTTGCGCAAATGTTGTTGACATAGTGAAGGCAGATGTGTGACTGGCGGCAATGGGGAGCTGTACTGGATTTCTGCACAATACACTTAAGTAAATAAATTTTCAGAGTTTGCATAGTGTCAAGGTTTATTTTCAGGAATTGTGCTGGCCTTTCTAGCTACTTGTTCTAGGCTATAAAATACAGAATCCTGGTTTTGCTCTGTTTTGACTTTGTGGCACGTCTAGGGAAAAATGGGGTCATGGGGTGTTAAGGAATAGAAAACACAGGCTTTGAAATGTCCATATAGTGTCCTTCAGTGTAAATTGACCCCTTTTATATATTGTTTGCTGATTTCCCCTTAATTATGAGCATGACTTAAAGGCTTTACAAATTCATAGTGCTGGTTGAGCATAGAGTGGTCCTGGGAGAGGGGAAGTGTCCTGAGATTTCAGAACAACTCTGTGGGGAAACGTGTGTCAGCTCGGGAAGCTGCCTTGGCTCAGTAACCTCTGTGGATGCTTAGGATTTTTTTGGTGGCTTGGTGTTTTTGGTTTTAATCTCAAGTCAAGAAATGTAAGGTTATGCTTCTCACATTAGCTCTTTGTGGCATTATGTAGTTCTGTATATTACATATGTTATGGATTAATCGTTTTCTGTCTTTGTATTATGTCCGCGAGAGGCATGAGTGATGCTTGTTGAAGGAATTACAAGTGGGTGTATATACATGTATTTAAATCTCAAGAACATCAATTTCAGGTGTCAGCCATGTTGTTAAACTTTCAGACTCTTGGGACTTAATAATTCTTTCTGTTTATTCTCTGAAACAGTAAACAGATTGTAATTTATTTTAAGAATTAACACTGAGTAGAAATTCAGATTCCAGCATGTAGTCACAATCTCTGGAGATGACTGAAACTTTAATCATTAAGGGATGTCTCTGAAACATTCTTACTGAGCTTGATGCTTAAGTTAAGAAAATTTAGGCAGACATCGAAACACTTGAGAGATCTAGACAGAGAAATGGATTATAGAAGATTGTTTTGCCAATTGACGGGGTTAGCACAAAGGACATGGGCGCCAAATTAAAGAAGTAAGCTTATTTTTACTTATGCATAAAGTGATAAAATAATGAGTAATACAGTGAAAATAAATTAAAGCAAGATAAAGCAGCAAAATAATACAGTAGCAACTACTGTAGCAAGCAGAAAGTAAGGTAATGCACCTAATCATTACTACATAGAGTTAGTGATGGTGATTAAGAAAGATACATCACCAGTTGCCCTAATAATACGTTACCATCATCCAGAACCACAGTTGCTGGGGAGCCCGGTTGCAGTGAGGATTTGGAGAAAACCTTCCCAGCAATTGGGAAATTTCTATACAGTGCGTCCACTGTTTAGATGAGGCTTCCAAATTTCCCTGCAAATGTTCCCTGCTTTTATGCAGTTGAATGAACAACTTTATATCTTAAACTGCAAAAAACATCTGGTGTGGTTTTTTTCCTTGTTAACTTCCATCTTGAGCCTGGCCAGAGCAGGAGAGGGAAGATAACAAGAACAAAAAAGAATCTAGTGTGGGGTGATGCAGCATCAGTGGAGTAATGTGTAGTGGAGAGAATGTTCTGCTGCTGCTACAAAAGTAAACAAGGTGTACATTGCTCAGGCTCCCTGGTAACTTTGAGTGCAAATGTAACTTGCCTGTCTTTCTGCTTAGTGTATTCTTCTGTCGTGCCAACAAGCATCTTAGTCTAATCACCATTTTATTTTCCAAGTGTACAGCGTTTATATCGTTACAGCTATGGATCCCTTTGCTGGCAGTTGTGCTTATCTTGATGCAGTATATATGATTTATGGTTAAATTGTTCCTTAGCAATTAAAAGAGTTTTCCCTGATAAGACAAAGAAGAAAAATCTAATAAAATCACTTTAGAACTCTATGTGTGTGTGGTCTTAAGATACAATGCTGCAGATTTTTGGAGGAATTTTTGAATTCAGTTATGGTTGAACAGATGGCAGGTTTGCTTTTTCAAGGGTTTCTTTTACTTACATGCTTAGCCAGCAGAGAGTGGCTTAAAGATTGTTTTCTTATATAATTATTATAATTGTATGTGAGAATGAATATAGAAACACTATTAAAGTGGGTATAGGCCATGTTGGGATATATAGTGTGTCTGTGTATAAAACTAATTAAATGTTGATATGCATCCCTTCCTTTGTGATGATTGTTACAGAGAAAGCAAATCCTAGACAGGGAAAAGTAGAAATTAAGGTAGTCAAAAGAACTGTCATTCTAGTTCTTACAAAACTGTCAGCCTCTTTTTGCTAAGCTATTGGTAACTAATGATTTTAGCAAAATGTTTTTTTATCTTCTTATACGTGGAAAAATGTGAAATAGTTCAAAATAAATAAAATTAAACACTAAAGATACCCTTATTGTGCAGAAAGATAAACTTTATTGGCAGATGCTAAAATTATGACTTTTAAAGGTGAAATGATTCTTATGAGTAGAAATTAGATTACTCAAAAGCTTACTGCACAAAACCAATGAATTTCAGACTTACTAGCAAATAGAAGGAATACAGCCACTGATTTTAAGGTGGAGAGATGATCTGAACTGGCTGGAAGTTATTGGTGATTGTTGTTACGTTATTAAAATCCTCTACTATCCCCATCCCCTCCTTAACTCTGTACTCGGTGTTATACATTTCTCTTTTTATATGACTTTTAGAGTGCACGTTCCTTACTGTATGTTTTTAGTTTTTACTGTTGTACGTGGTGGAACAGATTGTTAGTACCTTGCAAAGTGAGTGCTTTGCATTCTTGTCTAAAGTTTCATTTAAATATAAATCTGAGTTGCTTTGTATTACTGATTCTAACTTCCTTTGTCTCTTATAAGGCTTTTATGTTATGTTTCATATAATGAATATGAAATATATGGAAAAATATTTTCACTGTGGGACCTTTTAAAATGCTTGTTTATTGTTGTAAATAAAGTCTTTATAAAGCCTGTCGTAATTTGCCCATACTTCCATTCAAAAGTGATCAGGTTGATAGAGCTGGGAGGAGGGAAGCTGGCCAAAGGAACTGTAATGTGGAGCTGGTATATTGAATTAATGCTAGCCCTTCTCCTTCAAACTATTAGCTCTCTGATGGGTTTTAGCTAGTTTAAAATAATCTAGAGTCTGAAACTAATTTTGAGGTTTTCCTCTCAATGGGATGATGTGTCTCCTTCATCTAATCAAACCAGAGACTGCAATCTGTATGACACTTCAATTTGTTTTTAACCATGTAGTTATTTTTAAATAACAGAAATCTGAATATTTTCTTTATCAAAATCAAATTATCCAACAAATTCTAAATTTCGGTCATCTAAATTTTTTTTCTTTTTTTCACTTTTGCTAGTGTCAAATCAATAGTGCCTTGACCTCATTTCATACCGCTTTGGAACTTGCAACAGACCAAAGGGAGATTCAACATGTCTGCTTATATGAAATAGGTAAGTTGGATATGTTTATACTATAAATAGCTCACTTCCAAGTTTAGACCAGCAACTTCAATAAACAAACTGGATTATTTTTATTAGGATTTTTAAAAAGGTTTTAGAACTTTGTCATTCAACAGTCTTTCATAATTTTAGTTTTCATCAAATACAAGGTGATGCAAGATCAGAGAGTAGACTGTAAATCAAGAGCAAACTCTTCACCTACACAATATTATTTAAAATGAGAAATTAATCTGATTTGTCTGTAGAATCACCATTTCTGTGCAAAAAACCTAATCAGTCTAGCGGAGCTTCACAGTTTGCAGGATCTATATTTTGTGTTTGTTTTCTTCTACCAATAGCAATATATGCTCTATGTTCTTAAGTTACATACAGGTCTTCAGAGTGGAGAAGGTGTGTTGCTTCAAGCTTAAAATGTGTCTCATTAAGGGATCTTGTCAAAGTGGGAAAGAATAAGGGAGCAAGTAGTAGCTTTGTAAGTTTCAGCATCCTGCAAAAATACAGTATTTAAATAAAAAAGAAAGAGCTTTAGGTGTCTGTATAGATTTGTTGTTGCTCTGAAGTGGATTCATCATTTTGTATTGAATCCTATAATTCAGCATTTTCCAGTAAATGTAAACTGGGCTTTAAATGTATGTCATTGATTTGTTTTGGTTTTGACTTTTCCACTTACTGGTATAATTGTTAAACCAGCTCCAGCTCTCATAATATACTCTATTTCAGTAATATTGACACAAATTTGAATTACTGTGCTTTCTCTGAAGTTAAATTAGTCTTGTTTTTAGGTTGGTGCAGTATGATAGAAATGAATTTCAAAGATGCGTTTGAATCCTTTGAAAGGCTTAAAAATGAATCCAGGTGGTCCCAGTGCTACTATGCTTATTTAACAGCAGGTGAGTATATTCAAGGTGTTGGATAAGTGATAAATCAGTGATGTGATAAGGTTTTTGGCACTGTTTTGTTTTGAGAAACTTTACTGGTGCATAAGGTACCTTCCACATTGCTGTCTGTGCAGCTTTATGCTAGGCTTGACTTACATAATTCTGTTTGTTTATATAATGTACGCTTGCATGCCCATGCATTCAAGTGCGTAAGTACTTTCTCCCTGCCTCCATGCCCATATGGAGTTAGAATTATGATTGTCAGTGTAGTGACAAGTCATGTAACAGTGTATTGCAAAGATTTAATGAATAAATCTTTAGAGGATGGGTGGTGTTAGTTCCTTCAGAGGGTATGAAAAAGACGTACTGACTTGTTAATGATCATGGAAGGTACCTGAGAGAGTTGGGATCTGCATGTTTGACAAATCCCCAGTCTAGATCCCTTCTGGAAGTGTGTGTGTGTGTGGTTTTTCGTGGTGTGTGTTTTTTTTTTGTTTTTTTTTTTCCCTGTGACCGTTTGATATCTAATCTTAATTTTTTCTGTTTCATGTCCCAGTAGTGTTAACATGTTTTTTTGTTTCTGTGTTCTTACAGTGTGTCAAGGAGCCACCGGTGATGTCAGTGGTGCTCAGAATGTGTTCAAAGAAGTTCAGAAGCTTTTCAAAAGAAAAAACAATCAGATTGAACAATTTTCAGTGAAAAAGGTTTGGTTTAGTTTAGTTTGGTTTATTTCAGTACAGTAATTACACTTGGTAATTCTGTTGGATTCTTTACCAGTATTTATTTTTGAAGGATGCATCTGTTTTCTTCTGTATTGCTTCTGTAGAATTAGTGGGAAGGATTCAGGTGGAAAAACAATAGTCATGTGTTTTAAGGACCTAGTAAAGGAAGTGTGAATTAGCTGTTCACTTTATTAAAGACAAACATACACGATACTGTAGTTGCTTTGGCCATTTTGCTTGTAGCTTTGCCTTTCTTACTGCTTTTTATCTTGTCTTGTTTGTCAAAGCCTTAGTTCTTTTTGAAAGCTCAGAGTTGTCTAGGAAATATCTCCTAGTTGGTGATCTTGCAGATGTTGCTGTTTCAGCATCCAGTCAGTGTGTACTTGGGATTGTGAAATACAATAAAACAAAACCAGGCTGCATACAGGGAAGCTTTAATTTTGGTCAATGTGTAAGCCCTTAAATTAATTGAAAGATTTTGCTTTTTAGTCTTAGGTCTTTATTTACATAAAATTGTTGGATGTTTTTGTGAAACGGTTAGAATTACTGTCTGTGATGTATTCTTTGTGGATAGTATGTTCACTGTAAAATGACAGATGACAGCTCTCCCTCTTTCTCCCCACTTTGCAGGCAGATAGATTTAGAAAACAAATGCCAACCAAAGAGCTCTGTGTCCTGGCATCCATTGAAGTACTGTACTTATGGAAAGCCCTTCCAAACTGTTCCCTCTCTAACTTACAGCATATGAGCCAAGGTATAATGTGGTTCCTTTATTTATCTACTTACTTTTTTAAATAAGGTGTATAATTTTCTTCTGTTGTGTGGAATAGTAGATTGTTGTAGCACAAAAATTTAAATATCTGTGCATGTGTGATAGCAAAACAGTTTGAGTAACAACAGAATAACGACACATTAAGATTCAGCTTAATGCTTCATTTTTACCATTTTTATAGGTTTTTGGGAGAAGTTTAACTGCCTGCTGCTTATAATTCTTTTAATCAGTTGCGTTTGCCAGTTGTTTAAAATGAAACAATATGACAGTTATTGCCCAAAGCTGCTAAGCTAAATTTAACTCATTTAAACCTAGCTACAAAATAAAAAAATAAAACTATCAATTCATTTCTGCGTATCAGTTTTCTTCTAAGAGAAAATACGTAGCTTGTGAGGTCATCTGTGACCTAAGAGTTCTGGTTAACCTGGCCGTTGGGACCATTTTAGTTGTGAAAGGAGCATTTTATGGTTGCCTCTTTCATAGTCTCCCTGTGTCTTTGGATGTCTGTCACATGAAGTTCATGGCAGCAGAGTTTATCACAAAGTTTTCACTACTCCTCCCTCCGTCCAGAGATCAGCCTTGTTTGCATTCTGCAAACAGTTTCAAGTTATTACCTGCTCATTTAGGAAATAAAACAAAAAATGTCTGCCACTGAGATACTTCCTTTTTTTCTGCAATTGTGAAAGTTTTTATATTAAGCTAGAAAACTATCAGTCTTTAAGTCTAGCATCAGGACTAGTTGTGGGGTTTTTTTCTGGTTTTAATTTAAGATGATTTGTCCATTTAAACTGTGTGATGGCAGATCCCTAGTTTTCTAGTCCCAAAGATAATGGTGGAGGCTTTAAAATGAGACTGATTTATGTAAAAAATGAATTTTGGGATTTTTTTCTGTCATTTGCCTTCAGAACAATCAGCTTTAGAGGTCGTGAAGAGTGTGCTTCTCTCCTGCACACTCAGAAGCAGTGTAGATCTTTGTATAAGCTTCTAGTCAGTGGTATGCATGTTAATGTGAAATAGCAGTATAGATTAAAATTCAGAGATACACTTCTTGTAAGGTATGACACTGACAGATGTGTCTGCATCAGTGATCCCTGGCTGAAGATTTTCTGCCCAATGAGAATGTTATTGCTGCACCTTATGTGGATCTCAGTGATGAGATGACGGGATTTTTTTTTTTATTTTTACTTCCTCTTCTCTTGAATAATGGGGGTGTGATTTGCCAGGGTGAGTTTCCAGGCTTTTCCTCAGGGCTAGAAGTTGGCTTAAAACTGAAGGAATGTATTTGTATCCACATGAATTTCTAAGTAAAATGCCAAGTAACTGGAGACTTTTGTATTACAAGCGAGAGTTGACAGCCTTGTGTATTGTGTAGTGTCCAAATACTTGGTGCAGACAACCCTTGGTTATTCATAGATGGTGTACTGGGGTTGTGGATTAACTGTGTTGTGAATGCAGAGCTAGTTAAGATCTGGCAAAGTTTATGAGATGAGCAAAAATATGAAGTTAAAGGAGCTCTACTGCTCCAGGCACAGCAGATTAACTCCTTTTGAATGGATGAAAAGCCCTGCACGCCTCCCCATGCCTTGGCCTTTCTGGAGGCAGCAGTACAGACAAGTGCAAATGGCTCCTGATGGACTAGCCTTGATCTAACAGAGCTGGCACTAATAAGCTTGGTCAAAGGGGAGCCTGATTCATCTAGAGGTGGTTACATGCGTAATGATTCAGTTCTTTCTGGAAACAGAGCACTACTCAGCTGAGGCACAGTCTGTCCCTGGATTGTGGACCAGCCAATATCTGGCAAAGAAGCCTTATCCTCTCATCAGCATTGAGAATTTTGATGCCAAAATACCCTAGTCTGGATTTTTAAATCCATTACAGATTTTTGTATGTCTGTCATTTGGCTTCAGTTCAGAACAAATCAGCTTTGTCTGAAGTGCTTGCCCTGTGTTCCTTGTAACTTGGACTATATATTTTTCTTTCAATATTTGGGACAACTCAGTTCCCCATAACACCAGAAGGAAGTGATTGTTTCTTAACTTTACCTTTTAGCAGCTATTTCAAAGACTGCTAGAGAAGTGGATTCTCCTCTTCTTGTGAGAAGAACATACCAGCTGCCTTTGACTTAAGCACATTCATTCTTCTTATGGATTGTTCTTAGGAATGATAGATTGCTTGATGAGGTTCTTACGAAATGGGTTGCATTTAAAAGAAACCAAATTACTTTGATATATATTAATGTTACTAGCATGTCCTTTTTCTGGTTAAATTTAATCACCCAACTAAAAGTCACTGTAGACCATGATTCTTGTTTAAGGAAGGATTTCAATCTGTCTTGTTTGTTTACTGGTATCTTTTCATTAAGCTTGTCAGGATGTTGATGATTCATCAGCTGTTGGTTTGAGGAATTTGCTTCTTGGTGCCATACACAAATGCTTAGGAAATTCTGAAGATGCTGTTCAGGTAAGCTGTTAAATTACAATTTACACCATTAATCCTATTTTATGAGCCATTCTGTTAAACAGTAAGTGTGGTGGAGTAAAAGTGTTAAGCAAGCCATTAGTTTTCAGTGCTGTTGATCATACCGTTCTGTGAATTCCAACAAAGTATGTTAGGTTCTTTTCAGATCTTCTGTTTAGGATGTCTTTATTATATTCTGTGTTGTAAAAGTATTTGGCTGTGTTGAATGAACATGGTAGCTAAAGTGAATTGTAGGAGCAAGAGTTAAGGGGAAACTGGGAAGAAGAATGGAAAAGTTCTTGTCTCTGCTGGGTTTGCTTTATTCAACAAGAAAAATTAATAGTTTTTTAAAAAATAACTTGGAGATTGACTTGTCAAAAACATGGGTTTGCTGCTTCTCCTCTAGACCTTAGACACTGAGAGGTTTGATTATTAGCACATACCAAAGAATAATTTTGTCACTGCTCCAGGCTTTGATCTGTGGCCACAACTCATTTTTCCCTCCTCAAAATAGAATGAAATTCACATAAGTAACAAGGGAACTGATGCTGGTTTTAAATTTGTTGGTGGTTTGTATGTTAAAGTTCCTTGTTAGATGTAGTACTTTTTCAACAGTACTTTTTCAGGTCGCAAAACTCTTGAAAAAGTCAATATGTTACTTGGTAAAAATCCAAACAGTTTTGCCTTCATACAGTAGTGTCAGTGAAAACCTCTGGGTCCTTGCTTAAAGAATCTCTACCATTGGAAACTGTTAATGTATTTTCATTTTAGCTTTGGGATAATTTCTGGTTCTTAAAGCTGAACAGTACTTCTGGATTTTTAAAGTATCAAACAGTCAATTTTAATGTATTACTGCAGTCTTTTTTTTTCTTTTTTTATATTTCTATAGTTCTTTCAGCGAGCTGCTAAAGATGAACTGTGCCGTCAAAACAACTTATATGTCCAGCCATATGCTTGCTATGAACTTGGCTGTCTTCTGTTAGACAATCCAGAGGTAATAGTGTAACCTGTTTTTAAACACTTAAAATTAGGGTGGGGAGTCAACATACTACTATACAAACAATGAAACAAAGTTTATAGGTGATAATGTATGTTAAGTTTTAAATATTTGTTTCATACCTACCATAAATAAGCTTACTACTTTGGTTTTTTGCAAACCAAGAAATGCAGTGCATTTTAGGTAACAATGTCTCAATTTTTCAATATCAAGAGCTGTAAGGACATTCTGAGGAGCTTAGTTATCTGTTGATAATACTGCAAAGACTTTTTTTGTTGTTACTGGGTTCTATTTTTACATAAAAATGAGAGCCTGAGACTCTCCGGGATTCTTCAGAGCACCTGTTACATACCTGGTATCTTTCTCTAGCGGAAAAAATGAACATGTCTGTTAACCTACAGTAAAGCAAGAATTTTGAGTGTAGCACCACATTTTTTCATTATTATTTAGTACTTTACCCCAGAAAACACCACAAAACTTTTCTTTTCACCTCTCTGATCATGCCACGATGCCCGCTTTTTCCTGTGTGCCTTACATAAACGATATATATAAACACTGGGGTATGTGAGTACTTCCATCACCCCTCAAGATGTAAAGACCCCTCTCCCCCTTCGCTTGCGTTAGTGTTCCTGCTGCTGCTGGCAGCAGAGGCCTGATAAGAAGGCCTTGGGTAGGCAGGGATTTGTTGCCTGCAGGTGCCATCTAGTGTGGCGAGTGCCTAAGATCCTTTTCTCATGTATTTAATTGCTGTTGGATGCTGTTCAAGTTCAATAATTACTGGTAGTTGTCCTCTCCGAATAGAATTTCGTGCCTTCCTAAAATAGCTCCATGTTTTTGTGATCAAACTTATGTTTGGAACAATACGGTATTTATCAAAAGCCTTTTTTGGGGACTGTTTATCCCTGCTCTTAGGACAGATATCTTCCTAATCTTGAAAGCCTAGCTGGACTTAGGGCACACGTACCATTGTACTGTTTCATTGCAGGGGATGTATAAGTAAAGTGATTTCAGTCATTTAAATTCTATTAAAGCTGTATGCGTTGGCATTTTGGCTTTCACCCTGAACGGTGAGGGGTTTTTTTTGTTCAGGCTGAAGAGGAGAATAATCCACCTGGCTTTCAGACTGTCCAGATGGCTTAGTTGATGATACATTTGATTGTTCAGGTCTTTGCACATACCTCTTAGGGAGCCCAGAGAATCTCAAACTAGGGCAACTTCTGCACCACTCTTCGTGATGTTTCCCTCCTCAAACATGTAACACTGGTACTTGGAGTTTATGCCACTTCATGTAGTACTTCCTGAATCAGACTGCAAGTTAGGGGAAGCGGTTACAGGGTAATGACTGTAACGCCCACATTATCATATGTAGTGTATAAAGCATTTGGGCTGATACTATCTCATATTTTTAAGGTTCTGTTGTCAGTTGTTTTAAACCTTGTCAGATTTAATCATCTGAGCTGAACCTTCCCCTTAAAGAGGGAAGGAAAGGAAAATGCTTTTAAAAATGATTGTTCTTTTTTGAAAACCTTGCTGCTCTACAACTTAGAACTGGGCCTTAAAGCCTGGTAGGGAGGTCTGAGTCCAGTAATGTTCCTTCTGCCTTTTTTTTCCGTGTTCATATTTAAATTTGATTACGTCAAGTGTCTTTAAGAAAAAAAAAAAGTGTGGTGGGTTATGTGAAGATTTTGAGATATCTGAAGTTATCTGAAGCTTTTGAGAATGTGGGAGCAGTCCTTCCTTCCTCCCTGCTTTATGTGTAGTATGTGCACACAGTAACTGAACATGCTTCACGTTGAGTGTTTGAGGACTGAAAAAACCTTGGCTTGTAATTGTAATGAGAAGCTATGGTAGCATTTAGTATGTGAAGCATGTGCAGGAAGCTCCCTCTCGTGGCACTCAGACAATGAGGAGGTAAATGATGCTTGACTTGAATAAAGTGGGACGAAGTGGGGAAAAGCAAGAGCTAAAATTAGAGGCAAGTGGATGCTGTTTATAGAAGATTCCATTTAGCAGTTAAAGTGTCATGCAAGAGTTCTGTAATGGTTAAGAAAGAGAAGGGAATAGGATTTTATAAATCACATTTACCTGAGAGGCTGAGCGTATTAAAGACCTGAGCAACACATGTAGATATGAATATGCATTTTAATATTTAAAAGCATGCTTTTATTATATTTACTGTGCTTTAAAATTACATGTTTGATTTACCATGTCATCTGAATCATATCTGTTATTTTAAACTTAGTCCTAATCAAATTCTTTAAGATTTTAATATGGTTACATCAAGAAGTTTACAGATTTTTTTGTAGGTGTAATTAAACCAATATAAATACATGTGTTCATATATACTCCATTTGGAGTACTGCATCCAGCTCTGGAGTCCTCAGCACAGGAAAGACATGGATGTGTTGGAGCTAGTCTAGAGGAGGGCCACAAAGATGGTCAGAGGGCTGGAGCACCTCCCTTATGAGGACAGGCTGAGAGAGTTGGGGTTGTTCAGCCTGGAGAAGAGAAGGCTCCGGGGGGACCTTATAGCAGCCTTCCAGTACCTGAAGGGGGCTACAGGAGAGATGGGGAGGGACTCTTCATTGGGGAGTGTAGCGACAGGACAAGGCTTAATGGTTTTTAGCTGAAAGAGGGCAGATTTAGACTAGATACTAGGAAGAAATTTTTTACTGTGAGGGTGGTGAGACACTGGAACAGGTTGCCCAGGAAAGTTGTGGATGCCCCATCCCTGGAGGTGTTCAAGGCCAGGCTGGATGAGGCTTTGAGCAACCTGGGCTAGTGGGAGGTGTCCCTGCCCATGGCAGTGGGGTTGGAACTGGATGATCTCTAAAGTATCTTCCAACCCAAACCATTCTATGATTCTGTAGGCAGATGTATTTGAATAAGACAACTTAATTTTTCTGTCTCTTATCAGGCACTTGATTATTTATTTGTAAGGCTTAAAATAAAAATAATAAGACATAGAACATAAGCTTTCTAGTAATAAATAATAATCTGCAAATACGTATATTTTTCCTTAAGAGTTTGAAATTGAGATTTCTGAAACAACTTTCAATGCTTAAAATCCAGTAACTTGTCTTGTAAATTGACGGCTCAAACTTTAGTTAAGAAATAAAAATTGCTGTTGATCAATTAGTCATTTATCTGTAGCCTCATTTGTTTCCCTGTGCATTGTTGTAGCTCACTGTTATCAGTAACAACTTTCATTTGAAGCTGTAATTTCTCCTTTTCTGTAGACTAGAAATAAGTAATACTGCATTTCTTGGGTTCCTGATCAGTATTTCTTTTGAGAGGGGTTTGTCTACTTGGTACCTTGTTTTCAAGATAGAGATGCCGTGCCGGACTGACCAGGCCATATACTTCAGATATCTTCTGTAACATTTGCAATGCATTTCTGATGCAATGTTTGTCTTTTTGTAGACTGTGCCAAGAGGAAAAACCTTACTTCTCCAAGCCAAGGTAAAAACTAAGACACTTTCCTTTCTGAGATGAGGGCATTCGAGAAGCTGTGGGTTTGGGGCAGGGGGAGTACATGTAAAGTGTCAGTTTCCCTCATGTATAACCTACAACACTATCATGTAGATATACATTGAGGTGTATGATACACATTTACATATGTTACATAGATATGTAGTTCTAGGTCAGTTAGCACAGAGCCCACATCAGTGACCTGTCCTGGAGTGTTAGAACCTTGCCAAGTTTTTCAACTAAGATTTGGCTTCAGAAAGTTAGAAAATGACAACTCTTCACTCCCTGTCTGTTCAACTGGTTCCTGCTTTGGGCATGTTGGGATTTTCTAGAGCTTTTGGCCTTGCAGAACTTTCCAAGTGCTATTCAGCTACATGGGATACAAACAACATGTTGGAAATGGAGGCTTTCTGCTCTTCACCAACTTGAAATTTCTGTAATAATTGTGTTACTTTGGGTAATGCAGGGATGGTGCAACATACAATCTCTGATTCACCTCTTTGCCTTGGTCTCTTTTGTAACATGACTTCTTAAGCATTAGTAGTAAAATTACGTTCACATCCTAAAGTGAAGGAGGCTAATAATTATATGCTTTTTTTTTTTTTTTTTTCCTTTCCCAGGAAGAATTTACTGGCTATGATTTTGAGAACAGATTGCACGTCCGCATACATGCAGCCTTAGCCTCTCTAAGGGAAGTAGTTCCGCAGTGACAGACAGGAAGTCTTGCTATCCTTTCCCACAGTTTCTGCACTTTAAGATGAAGCAGAAGAAAAAGCTGTTGGGAAGACCAGCTTTTCTTCTGGAAACCACTTGTGCCAGAGACACTTTCCTAGTATGGTCAGAGTTGGTATGGCTTAGTAAAACATTACAATTTTAACTAAAAGTAAATCAACCAGGAAGAAGGTTAAGTGACCTTGTGTTTTTAACTCTTCAGTTTTTATTTTGTTTAAATCAAGCTGAACACAATGGCTTGTAACTCTGTGGGTGAGCCTAAATAAGCACATGTTTTACTTCAACAATATTGGCAGGTGTGATTTTTACCTTTTAAAACAGTTTTAGATCTAAAATACGCCAAGGGAAACATTTTTGTTTTCATTAGAATAATACAATAAAAATAATTCGTTTAAAGGTTGAAGGTGGGAATGGTCAGAACACTTTTTTTTTTTCTTCAAGCATTATCCAATACACAAGGGGAGGAAAACTGTTCAGCCGCAAAAAGTAGATTTTACTAAATTTTAGTGGCTTATGTCAGTGACTTCATGATTACTACTGTGCAAATTTTAAACCTTACATCCCCTTCCATTCTTTATTCCTTCCCTCCCAACCCAGCTCGTACTTGTGATATAAATTATGTCGATATTTTGGATCTCTGCTTCTGGTACATTCCAGCCAAATACTTAGTTTGACTTGCAGTTACAGTGTGGGCAGTTCTTATTTCTGCTCCTAATATTCTGAATATTATGTGAAAATACATAGGCCAGATACAGTAATTTAATGTTTTTTTCCTTTAAGCTGCTGAATTTTTTTAGCAGTGACCTTTAAAGGTATTAAAAAAACCCCAACCAAACAAAACACAAAACCAAAAAGCTACTTTGGTAGTCATACCAATATTACAATATCCTATGGCATTCCAAACCTGTGGTGTTAAGATACTGAAATACCTCGGAGAGCTTTAAACTTTTATCATGACCGTGTCATTTTTAACACTTGGCCATCTCTGTGCTCATCTGTAGCTTTTTTTTTTTTTGTTTGTAATATGCAGTATCTCCTTATGTTTTATATTCAGTTAATATTATATTCTAGAAAGGTAAATATTTTTTTTAAAGAAGATTATGACTGAAAATCTGACCAGTAAGTTAGCTGAATTGTGTTACTTTGCAAAGCTAAGAAAACTGGATATCCTTGGAGATAGTTATCCAAAAGCCTTATCTTTACTTTGGTCAGGTTGCCTTAAACAGTTCCTTAGCTTAAACTTTTTTTCTTTTCTTACCCTTTGTAGAATATTTTGCCAAAGTGTTAGACCTTGCTCACAACTAACCTTCATTGATTTGCTTTTGAGGTTACACCTAAAGCAAGACTGATATGGAGGAGAAAAGTAGTATCCTATTTGGTAGGCCAAATGAAACGGTTGAGGCGCTTTTATTTCTCTCTAGAAATACACAGTTCCTGCTATGAAAGGCATTCCTAGAGCAGTTAAACACTTCTGTTGCAGTTCCTGAAGGGAGAGGAGAGACTCTTAACAAAGCAGGTTTATTTTTCTATAATCTAGGTGTGTTACAGATAGTACACTGGAGTTTTTTATTCAAATTTAACAGTAATATCGAGTCACAAATGAGTCTTCAACTTTATTTTGTCAATCCAAGTAAGTATTGACAAGAAAACATTGTGTATATAGTGACTACTTAGAATTCGAATCATTATTTTAAAAATGGGATTTAAAGTACTTGAAATCTTACTTTGTCTTATCTGACTTCTCATGTTTTGCAATGAGTGAGACAGGCCATTCTGGGTACATAGCTAGAAATGGTACAGTTACTGACAAAATTCATTTTAAATACACTGCTTAAATATGCTGTGAGACTGTGCTGTTCAGGACACAAAGCACCTGCATGCGACCTGTGTTGGGATATCTGGGGTTTACATACTTGGAGGTAGCTAGCATATTGTAGTAAATTTACTAAAAGGCCTGTTATTCTCTGCAGGCCCAGAGGGTGGGTATGGAAAACCACTATATATCAATATAACGGTTTAACTCTGTGCAAACTGCAGCTTTTCTGTGGATTTAGCGAATCATCACTGAAATAGAACTGTTTCTGTATTAATTAATTTTTTTTCTCCCCTGGTAGGAGAATCTCCTACACTGTAAATGTCAAAATTATTTTTTATGTTAGATTGTGCCCATGATGAGAAAAGTTTCAACTGTATTTTGTGTAAACTGATAAGTTTTTATACTTTGGAACTCGGAGGCATGGTCTAATAGCAATAATGGAATATGCATCTTGCTAGTTAATATGTTAAGATTATCTTTTCTGGGTCAGGTATTTTTGTTGATGTTGATGAGGTTTTTATCTCAATATGACTCATTTCAAATAACTATAATTTTTAGATGTCACAAGCTGGTATATTTATTGTGATGTACTGTAAATGTTGTTAATTTACAGACCTTGCACTTTTATATTTCTGAGTAAAATTAAAAGAAAAGTGGACATGCGCTTTGTTCCCTTGCTCCTCAAATTTTGTCTTTTAATTGGTGGCCTCCTGAACAAGATAATATCAAGTATCGGGAAAACTTCTGGGATGTCAAGTGATGCTGTAACAAAGTTTTCTAGTCAGCAATTACCTCAGCCTTTGTTCTTCCAGTATAATTACAGTCTCCTGGTTTAGAAAATGAGTTACATGTGTCATGTTGAGATCAATTGTAGAGTGACCAAGGTTTAAAATGCATTTTTAAGACATCAGATTTACTTGTTCTTCATTAAAGAAAAAGAACCACACTCAATTGTATTAGTTGTATTCCTACACCTTTGAAAAATGTTTCTAATTTACTCCAAAGCAAGCACTTTAATTTCTTCTCTCTCTGACTTTGAATGCTTGTTCCGTATTCTAGTTATGCTTTATTCTTAAATAAAATTCCCCAAATGTTGTATTGAATTGCTTTTCCATTTATAACAATCTGATTGTCTTTCCAACAGTTGATCCTACTCTTGTTTAAAATCTGCTCTGTAACTGAAGTTTGAACAGGGGCAAGCGTTATGTTGGTGTAGGGCTGTATGTGGTGGTTTGAGGGTGCTAACTGAACCGATCAGTGGGGGGAAAACGGGGCAGCCTATGAACGACGCTCAAATTCCCTTTCTAGGCATCATTACCAAATACTAACAATGGTAGCAATCACCTTAATGAAAAATTATGCAATCACAAACAAGTATTATTAAAGCTAACGTTAAGAAGTAAGCTTATGTTTAGCTGGCTTCTAAGGCAGTTGGGCAGCCAGGGGCATCTGACCAGCACGCTTGTCCTTGGCTCTGCAGAGGCTCAGCAGGCACCCTGGGGGACTCCAGTGGACTTAGAAGTAAGAAGTACAGATCTATTGCTTCTGATCCTTCATCCTGAAGGAACTGTATGACAGATTATTTTATATAAATTTGGAGTTTAGAAAAAAAGGCAGGATAGGGAACTATTTCTCTGCTAATTACAGATTGACTAGATGCTTATACAGTATTGCATTCTGATGTTTTGAGGTGAGCTAGAAAATACTGCTTCAAAAACAACTTTCATCTGGCAAAGCTTACTTAACAAGAAGATGGAAATATACAGGCAAGTGCCAGTTCTAGTTCATTTTGACCAAAGAACAATTAAAATATGGTATTCCGTACAGGGATTCAGAAAACATGGGAACCTGCTGTTTCTACAGTGAGTTATCTGTATCTATATACAATACTCTTAATTTATGCCCAAGCAAATTCATGTATGAAATTAGCTGGTGTATGAAATGCACTGGAAAAAAGACTGGGTTCTTTTACAAAAGGCCTGACTTTGTCATAGTGTTGCAAATATGCGTTTTCCCTGAACTTTTAACCTGGACAATTAAACAGTTAAAAATGTGTCCTATTGTTAGTAGATGGTAAAAAGTGATATTCCTGCTCCCCACCCCTGTTTCTTACAAGACAGTAAGAAATTCAACTTCAGGCAGGTTTTCCAGAGTTAAATACTGAATTGTTTCTATTTTTTACCAGTTTTTTTATACGCATGTTAGGACCCCAAAACTGGACCCAGCACAGGTTACCAGGGTGGATGAATCTAGAGTTGCATATTGCCTCCTTGCTGTTGCTCAGAATCTCTCTGCGTAATTACCCAAGGTTTCCATGACCTTTTTAGCCCCTGTGTTTTAACCATCAGTGTGTTTTAGCCACGGGAGTTCATGTTCAGTTGTCTTACTGTTGCCCCTAATTTTTTCATTGCTGCTTTTTCCAAAATGCTGTTTATCTTTTGATGTGACTTCTTTCAAGATGATGTTCCAGTAGATGCTTTGATCAAGTAATCTGTTGATCTCAGCAGGACCAGTCCTTGGTGTTTTACAGTCATTTTTTGGCAGGTTGTGCTTACCTATAGAAGATATCCAGAACGGTTCCCAGGTGAAGAGGGTTAAAAAAAAAAAAAAAAGTTTGAGTTGAATATTTGAGAGGGGAAGGGAGGGAGAGACAGATTGTCAGACTTTGCCGAGCAAAACCATTTATGTAACAAACATCTCCCAGTCTTTCACTAAAACCAGTATGTTTACTGTATTGAAAAAAAGATAGTTGTACTCTGGGGACGTGTACGTCTCCCCACTTGTAACAATGACCCTGATGAAGGGGAAGACAGAGGGAGTCGGAGAGATACACATAAATCCCTATTTTGTACCTTTTCCTTCCTTTCGGTATGAAAAGCAAGAAGGTTTTCATGGAGGTTTTTGTCTGCGATCGCAAACCCTCAACCCTCAGGAGCTCCACTGAAGTTTCTGGCAGGCAGAAGTGTAAAGACGGTGCTTGCAAAAGAATGCTAGTTTTCTTCTGCCTAGTTAGCTGAAGCTTTTAAAAAGATTGCAAGTTTAAAAACACCCTCACCCCCAACCAGCATGATTCATTAACCTGTTGTAAACTGTCTTAATTAAGAGTTAATGAATGAACTGATTTTTTTTTTTTTTTTTGGCAGAAACACGAGACTTATCTGGGACCTTGATTTACTGAATTCTTTCCATTAACTAATTTCTATCTCATAAGATTTTAATGTTGTGTGAAAGCGATTACTTCTGCAGATGGGGCAAAGGGTGGCAGGACAAGGTAATTGCCTTCAGTTCGGCAAACTGCTCTTAGGCTGACAGGCTCTGCAATGTGGGGCCAAAGCACAACATGTTTTAGTAGAATAGCTGCTACGCTTCGTATGATGGATTTTCTCTAGGTGGCTTCCAAAAATGGCATTCAAGTTTCAGTGCAGTGAATTAGTTTCCAGACATTTTTTCCTATCACTCTTTAAGTTTTAGGGAGACACACTTTTATGTTAGGTGCTGAAGCCTTTTTAAATATTTAAGGACGTTTATGCTCTTCTTGGTTGTCTCTGATAATAAATTTTTCTGTGGTTTATGACATCTATACTTAAACATCTCTGAACCTTCTGCTGTGCAGAGCTTTGCAGGCCTAGAATTTTGACAAGTTATTGTCTGACCCGTATTCATTGAGAATTGGTTTTGAGGTAACTGCATGACTGCCTTTGCATGTTTCATGCCTTTATGAAGTCCTGTTCCTTCTGTATGTTCTGTGCATAGAAATCTAGACTTCAGATTACTGTCCCAACTCCAGAAATGATGCATTTCTAGTCCTCATGTATATTCTTGAAGTCTTGTTCTTTGCATAAGAAAGCTATTGTTCCTAATTTGATAAGTCACAGCATGTTCATATTTAACTTTTTTAATATTGTGGTCTGTATTGTCACTGTCCAGGACTGATGAGCCATCATGAGAAGTTTTCTTAATAAGAAATTACTTTCCAAGGATTCTTTTATGGAAGAAGCATTTTGTGGTTAGTTTACTATTAACGTACTTTCCAGTGAACTAACTTGGAAGTGATATTGTTAATTTTGAATGAACTCTTATGAATATGTTACTTACTGAAGGAAGCTATTGTAGGTAGTCTAAATGCTTTAGCAGCAACGCTACTTAAATCCTCAGTGCTGCTGGGATTCCCCCCAGGTTTTTGTAGAGGCAGGCATCCAGGAATGCGAGAGCGGGTGGGTAGATGGTGGTTTTCCAGCCTTCATGGAGAATGATTGTTGGTGGATAAAAGTTTTTATCCCACAGCAGACTCCTGATCATGGCTTGCCACCATGATCTTCTGCCTTCTTGATCTTCAGAAACCCACTTCGTGGTAACCTTGAAAATATGGCACTCTACAGTTACCTTTTTTCTGCTTGTTTTATTGGAACAGAAAATAATTTTGTGTGTATCCACTAAAAATGTGTATTGGAAAGAAAATGCTATCCCCGGGGCTGTTGAGGTTTGTTTCACGTTATGCCCTTGCAATCATAAGGTTCTGCAATATGAACGGCGTCGCATTAAGGAATAATCTCATTCCTCTTGGGTGTAGCTGCCGTGACTGAAGAGGTTACAGTCCCCAGCTGTTTGCTTCTGAGCTCGTGCCAGAGATCACCACAGAACATCGCTTCTCAGGTGTGTATTTTGTAGTCTGTGACATTGATTTAAACCTTGAGGGTTGTATATCACCTCTGAAGAGGCTAGGCTGTGACCCAGGGGATGGGTCTGTGCACCCACCCGCTCTACCACGGCTGGCAGAGGGGTGGGACGGAGGGAGGTGGCTACAGCCTTTCTGCCTTCCAAAGGCTGCAGCGCTGGATTGTGTGAAGTCATCATAACCCAAGACTGAGCACAAAGTTACGCTCTGCCTGTGCCGGGAAGGAGCGTCTCTGCTGTCGCTGGTGAGGAAAACTGATGTTTCAGCCAAGGTGAAACACTTTTCTCAGAGGGGTTCTGCCTGTGCTGTGGGCTCAGCTGGCTACGTGCTTGAAGGCGAGTCAGTGGCAGAAGACAGGAACGGGTGTCACAGCAGCGTGGGAAGGGGGGACACGTGGCACCTCGTGGGTGCTCACTTCCCGCATGGCAGGTAGCACCTGTGCTTCGGTCTTAAAATATATTATTAAAAGGGTTATAAATAGACTTGTGCTCAAATGGTTGTGTCCGTTAGACACACTGGTTCTTGTGCCAGCAGTGGGCATCAAGGTGTTTATTGCAGGAGGGGAGCCCTTGCTGATGAGCGGCAGAGTCACCCGGCCCTGGAGTGCTCTGCCTGCCCGAGAGTAAATTTTAATCATGTATTTTGTCTCCCACTACTTTTTTTTTAAAATTCTTTTCAACTAACAAACAGTAATGCTGCAGTGCTGGAGCCACTGCCACACCCTGCCTGTGACGCACAGACACTGTGACCTCACACCCTCCTGGCTGGGGCTGGTGGCCCCACCAGTCTGCCCCACCCGACGACCTCCTCTGCATGCTGGCAGGAGGTGGGAGCCAGGAGAGAGCAAGGAGGTGATGGAGGAGGAGGAGGGGGGGAGGGAGGAAGAAATGTCCTGTAAACTCTCTGCTTGAACACGAATGGCTTTTGTGGCTCATTGGGGGGTGCTTTGGTGGGTTTTATCTTTAAAAAAAGGAATTCAGGGCATAGGTTTGAGTCTATGTTGTGTTCCCTAGTTGGCTGGCCCACCTGACTGTGCCTCCTGCTGCCTAAAGGTGCAGAGAGCAAGTAAAGGATTTGGTCACTGCAAATGGTAAATACCCTCTTTAAAGGAGTGTTTGGGAAGGGGCAGAGGAGGGTTATTGGTGGTACGGCAAGAGATGAGCAGCTGCGATCAGGCTGTCGGCGTTAGACACTTTGCATTGGGATGGGGCAGATGCTCAGCTGAGGGGTTCTGTTTGTACAGATGAGAAACCATCAGCCGACTTGAGTGGGCGAAGATGGAGTCTTCAAAGGTGGAGCTGGTTGTTCCACAGGACCTCAAGATCCTGCTTGAGGGGGTGAGCCGAGCTGTTATACAAAACAACACAGATGACATTGCTGAGTTTATTGCTCTCTATTTCCAAGATCTTGTTGCCTTGCGAACAGGTTTGTTCCTACCAGTGCTTCATCTGAAGAGCTGAGCTGTTTGAGAGTGCTATCCTACTCCAGCTTAATTTCTGCTTCTGTTTTCAGAGAATTCAGACCTGGATATAACAGAACTGATTAACAAGTTTGAGTATGTTAGAGGTAAGAAAGTTGCTGTTTGTTCTTTCAAGATATTTTGAGACAATGTTTCAACCTGAATGGATGGAAGTAGTTTTCACTTATCATGGCTGCATCCTGGCCATGTGAAAGAGGCACCTTCAGAAAGCATTTGCTTCTGTTGAATGTGGGAAGAATTAGTCCTCTGGGATTCTGTACTTTCTCCTTGAGTATCAGGGAGCCAGATGCCTCTGGTCATTTTAATTTTAAGATATTGCAGTGCAATTTATCACCCTCTAAGCAGATAGTGACTTAGCCCTTATCTATTTTTTGCAAATATATTGTATCTCTATGTTTATAAACAAGATTATTTAATTCAGTGAAATGCTGATTCCTTTGGGAAGTGTTGGGAGCTTTCATCTACTCTCTGCGTTTGTCTGCAAGGGCTGCAATTGGTGGTTGTCACAGGAAGGTTGTGTGGGGGCAGGAACACGGGCATGTTGTCTTGTCCGCAGCCTGCTTGTATCTGCCCCACTGGTTTGGGTCTCTATCATCTGGCTACCGTAACTGTTGGCAGCTTCAAATATCCCCTTTATTCAAACAGGCCACCCAAGCTGGAACCAGCCAGCACTTGAGGCAGCCTTGGTCTATAGATTGAGAGCTATAGGCTAAGGTAATTACAGCAATGAAGAGAAGCCCCAGTTATGAACAGAAAGTGCTACTATCTTATTCCTAGCATGGGATCTCCTCTAAAAAGCTAACCACTGATTTCAGCACTTCAAGCCCTTTTCTTGTAAAAATGACTGGTGGATGTTGCAGTGTGACTTAAAGTATCGCTGAAGGCTGAATTTTGGTGCATTTGCAAATGTTGCATTAATGATGTCACACAGCAATTTTTGCATGATCACAGAATGGTTTGGGTTGTAACAGACCTTTAAAGATCGTCTAGTTGAGCTTCCCTGCCCTGGGCAGGAACATTTTTCACTAGATCAGGTTGTTCAAAGCCCCATCCAACCTGACTTTGAACACTTCTAGGGATGGATCATCCACCACTTCTCTGGACAACCTGTTCCAGTGTCTCACCACCCTCACAGTACAAAAAAAAAAAAACAAAACAAAAACAACTGATATCTAATCTAAATCTACCCTCTTTCAGTTGAAAACTGTTGCCCCTTGTCCTGGAAATATAGGCCTTGGTAAAAAGTCTCTCTCCGTCTTTCTTAAAGCCCCCTTTAAGTATCAAAAGGCTGCAATAAGGTCTCCCCCGGAGCTTTCTCTTCTCCAGGCTGTACAACCCCAACTCCCCTTCTTCACAGGAGAGGTGCTCCATTCCTCTGATCATTTTTGTGGCCCTCCTCTGGACCCACTCCAACAGGTCCATGTTTTTCCTGTGCTGAGGATGCTAAGTGGGGTCTCACCAGAGCAGAGGGGCAGAATCACCTCCCTTGACCTGCTGGCCATGCTGCTTTTTATGCAGCCCAGGGTACGGTTGGCTTTCTGGGCTGCGAGTGCACATGGTCGGTTCATGTCCAGTTTTTAATCCACCAGTACCCCCAAGCCCCTTTTCCACCAGTCTGTTCTGAATCCTGAAAACAGCTCAGTGCTAAACTGATGATGTATTGAAGAGTTACCTTCTCTTCTATTACTGTGCTCGTTTTACATATTGGCCAACACTTGCTAATCATGATAGGGACCAGACCTTTTTGTGTTTATTTTTTTTCCCCAATGCTGAGGGTTTTATTAACCATGTCATGGAACACTGTTTTGATCCCATGAGTAATCTTGTGTGTTCCTCCCTTGATAACTAATCTAGAAGCCATTTTTCACTCTCTATCTAAAATTTGTTCGTGGCTTACCCTGTTCTTCATTTGGATACCTGTCAGTTTAAGTAATCAAGATTCTTGAGGAAGCTAAAAAATATCACCATCTGTGCATCTAAAATAACTTTCATGGATACAAAGAGTTCTGAGGTGTTGCAAAGAGGAGCCCTGGTCTTCTTCCTGGCTTATCTGATGTGCTTAAAGTAAAAGGTTTAATCTTTTAACCTGTAAGTGTAGCAGTGTTGTGGGCATTAGATAAGAATGTAGCCCTCACTGCAGGATCAGGAATACAGTTAAGGCTTCCTAGGTTTTGAAGTGGTACTACTGCTTTCTGAATTTTCTTTCCCCTTACCAATAGGCAAGCAGCAAACCCCCTGCTTAAATTATTCCATGCAACCTGGGAAGCTTCATAAATGTGCTGTAGAGCATCTGATTAAGTATATGCTGAAATCACTCTTATATACATGGAAACAGTTGCTCATGTATTGAAATTATCTTCTTTTTACCTTGCAGAAAATAGAAATGAGGAACTAGAGGAGAAAATATCAGAGCACCTAGATACTTTGTTTTCTGGCAAGCCTGAGAAAAGGGAGAAGTGTACTGACACTGAGGAAGACCAGCTCCTTGAAGAACCTGATATTGAGTATAGCTCACAACAAACTCAGTACCCATCAGTTGCCAGTTCCATTGCAGAAACCATATCCTCCACTGGATATGATGGCGCTTCAGCCCCTGAGGGCCCTGAACTGGCGTATGTCCCTGCTGACCCTGCACAGCTTGCTGCCCATGTGCTAGGTAACAGTGATTCTCTTTATTTTGTGAGGGATGTGGCAACCAGTGTGCAGACTCTTCAAGACTTTCAGAACTCAGAGGATGAACTTACACCAGTAGAAGGGGCTGCTGAAGATGCTTCTGCTGTCCCAGCAGCTGAGGCTTCTGTAGAGACTGTTAGGTCACAGCCAGGAGTGCAGAGTCAGTTGTCTGCAGTGGGAGAACCAAGTCCCTCAGACAGCCAGGCTGATGTCTCGACAAATGATGTAAATCAAGCTTCCTCCATTCCCTTGTGGGAAGAACAATCACCATCACCTCTTTTACCACCACCATCACCTGCTCCTAAAGATGCATTGCAGGCTGTGCCTTCCTCCAACAAAACTGCGGTTAGCTCAGCCACTGATGTTGTATCACTGTGGTGGGATTATGAGCCCATGGAGGTTCCACCTTACATAGAGCAATTTCCAGAGAAAATAGTCATTCCCTTTGTAGACCAAACAGCTTATCTGTTAAAGATGGAGCAGCCTTTAAATGCAGACGAGGGCTCAAGTGTTACCACCTTAGTTCTATCTGATGATGAATTAGTGTGCCATGCTGAGAGAATGGAATCTACAGCACAAGTGGAATCAGCTGAGCAAGTTTATGTCTTGTCAGGTAAGAAAGTAAGTCTGGGTCTGTGTATCATCTTCCTGTTTGAAATTCCAGCTCTACAGCTTCATCAGTGGCCATTAAATGGAAAAGCACCTATGTCAGTGCAACACAGGGTAGAGATGAGATGACTTCTAAGAAACTACTGTACCAACACTGTCTGCTTGACCCTAGTGCACGTGTTGAATCTCCCTCCCATCTGTTCCAGGAGATATGGCTAGCTCTGGGCAGTACTCCTGCACTCCTGCTGTGGGCAAATATGCAGATAAACATGACAGGAAGGTGCCCATTGATGCCAAATGGTCTTGCTCAAAACAAGCCACATTTCCTGAAGCAGATGTTGGAGACCTAAGATGTAATACATGTGCCCTATGGCTGAAGGCAGGTGACTAGTTGGAGCCCTAGTTTTGATTCTTCTCCCCTGAAAGATCTCATTCCAGCACTGACCTAGGAGGTTTTCCATTTAGGAAAAAAAAGTGGTGGTGGTTGCCTGTGCTGTCTTGAGCTTGGTGAGTTTCTGCAGCTGGACTGAGTGGGCTAAGCACTGGTCATCTGCTTCACAAACAGCAAGAGAGCTTGTGCTCATCTTTCTTAGTGAGGCCCTCACCAGCATCTCTTCCCTTTGGTGACATGTGCCCAGTCCATCCTTTGCCCAGCTGGAGAAACCCTCCAGGGTGGAGCTCCCCTGCCTCAAGTCTCCCTAGTACTGCACTCTCTGTCCAAGCCCTGTACCAGGCCCCAGGAGAAGTAGTACAGCTGTGAGGTCTCAGCAAAGCATTTTGTAGAAGAGAGCTGGGCTTAGGCAGACTTGTAAATTAACATTGTCTCTTTTGAGAAAAAAAACAAAACAACCCAACTTCTGGGGGAGTTTGGCAAACTTCAGTTTCAGAAATATCAGACAACTGCTTACCCAGAAAAGCCTCTGTTCTGACCACAAAGTTTTACTTTTTCTAGGCTGCAGGTGTTTGTCAGCCACATACCGAACAGTGTTTGCTATCCCAGCTCCCTTCTCTAACATACTTGCTTTCAGCAGGTGGAGGTAGGTTTGGCTTAGACGTAAGGATTTACAATATGACTGGACTTCACTGCTCCTGATACCAGCACTCTTATTTTTATCTTTGTAGCCATGGCATCAAGTGAAGCAGCACAGCCACCACTACCTTCTAATGTGTGGACACTCTATTGCCTAACTGACTTGAGACAAGGTCAAAAATCACCACCCTCTCTTCCTCCTGATGGAGCTGGTGTTCCTTGTTCCCAGGCCCCCCTCTGTCTTTCCAGGGGGGAAGATCAACAATATGGTCAGCTGTCAGAAGTACCTGCTCCAATTTATGTGATGCAAGAAGAAAGCAAGAGGGGAAATGCTCCCCCTTTCATTCTAGTGGGCTCTAATGTTCAGAACACAGAGGACTGGAGACCTATTCCTAGCTACGCTGTTGTTGCACAGCAACATACAGGTGTTAGGAGGAGATTCACTACAGTCCTAATACCGGTTGCCAGGCCAGCTGCTGAGGAAACAGATACGCCAAGTCCCAGTTCTAATCCTGCAGAGGAAGCTGCAGCTAAGCTGTGCCCTCCTGATGTTTTCTCAGTTGCCATCCCTCTGGATGATGTGATGTCTGCAAAGAAAAGGCTTGGCAGCTGGTGATAAGCACACAGGTACAAATACTCTTGCAGAAAGCTATGGTACTGCAGGATAGAATACCATTACATTGGACCCCATGCCCAGAGCAGGATCACGAAGAAGTCAGCTTGCTTCTTGCATAGGGAGATGCTAGTGTTTGGATTTTACTATGAAAAGCTTAATTTAATCCTTTTCAAAATAAACTAAGATTTAAGACCAGTGGTGTGTAACAGACCCCGTGCTTTCCTCTGCTTGTTACACTTTGCTATTAGTAGTTAGTTTTAGTCTAAAGTAACCAAGTTTTTAATCTCACATTCATACACATCTCGAATGCTTAAATTCAGACTGCAGGCAGTGGGTAATATTCAGAGTGGGCAAAATACCCTCAACTTAGAGTGCATTTAGGTAGCAGTTTATGTAGTTCTTGGTGCACAACGTCTACTGAGTTCATGTTGTTTTTCTAAACAGGTTGAGAAGAGAGACTGGACTTCACGAAGAATGCAGTGTACATTGTAATAAATCAAATAATGCAAATGCTCAAAAAAAGCCAGCAGTCAGAACTGCATTCCTGTGTATTTTATACTTTCCTAGTACAGCACAATATCCTGAATGCTGACTTTGTGTGAATTATGACACACATCTGCTGCAGCTCTTTCACTGAAGTGACCCAACTTCCTCCCTGTGCTGATATGGTGTATGCATAAGCCGCAACAACGCTGACACATTACACACAGAGCCAAAGCTCCTGCTGTGTAACTAGACATAGGCTATACCGCTGCGGTTATTTTCTTGGAAGGAACTGTACACAAATGTCGGGAGCAAGACGACAGTCATACTTTCAACTAGAGGAAGGAGTTACTCTCACACATGGTCAATTCATTCAAAAACTACTGGCTTATTCAGGGGGACAGCTGCTGAGGTTATGTTTCAAGAAAGGAAATAAGGAAAAGTACCTTTCTTTTGCTTTAGAGGTTTAACAACTACAGCTATGGTCACTTAAGTATGCCTGAAGTATGACTACATCTAGGGGAAAAAAAAAACCACACAAAAACCTGTTCTTATGAAACAGAAGTCATTCAAAACAAAACCAACACAGCCCCTGATGTTGTGTAGAGGTTTCCCCTCTTACAGCTTGCGGGCTAGCGGCGAGGGCAGGCAGGAACTAAATGCTTTGTTTTTCCTAGCACCCAGTGTTCAGTGCTGGCTGACCTCCTGAAGCACTGACCCAACAGCTAGGCTGTTTCTACACATCTCAGACTCCCACTTGAAGTTGCAAAGGAATTAAGCCAGACTTCAAGAAATGCTGGTCAGAATAGAGAGTCAAGGGCAAAGATGAGGCTTTCAAGAGACAGTGCAGGTATTCAATTTCTGCATCTACAGGTCACTGCAAGAACTAGGCCCTCACAGGGAAAGCTGCCGAAGAGGCGGCTTTCCCTTATCTATGCAAATATGTCTCAGCATCACTACCTGGGTAACTCTAGTAGCGCACAGAATAAAAGTAGCATCTCATTGCCTTATTAGCAGTTTCAGTACTCCACCCCCAAGGCTTGAGCTGCAGCCTCACTGCATATTTTGCAGAGAAAGCTCTCAGCTCCCCAGCTGTCCCTACTCCTCTAGAAGCAGACTGTTCCTGCTTAGGGGAAAAGAAGCATAGGGAAGCACACTGTACAACTCCATTGCAGCAGCTTTTAGGGTAGTCTAGCTCAGAAAGGGTCAGCGCTGTCAAACACCACTCACTTTAGACTAGATGCAAGAAGTTTTGAAGCCTTTATTTAGTAGCAATTAAATTACTCAATTAACACTAACCTCCAGACAGCAGTTAAAATATTGTACAAAGAGCAGCTTGCCCTCTAGAAGCTCTGTACACAGTTCAATATAAACTTACAGTCTAAGATTGAATGCACCCCACTGAAAAGGGGTAAAGCAGCTGTGCACAGGAGGCCTCACTGAGGTGCTGTACTACCTTTGAACTGCACAAGACTTCCCCCCCAGGGAGTTTGCACAGTACAGACACAGGTCCTGTCCCCCTTGCCACTGGCTCCTGGACTGATTAGGTTCTTGCCTTTTTGCAGTGGTGCTGGGCACCAGAACTTTTAGTGCGTGAAACAGATTCTTTTAAAACCTGTTACTAGTGTGCAGTTCAAATCAAATCCATAGATATTTAAATGGCTCTTAATTCCTTAAACCATAAGGTTGGTAGCAAAACAGGAGAGCAAAATTCAAAACACTGCACAAAACATTGAATAAATACCTCTGAGTAATGTTACCAGCTTAAACAACTGCATGAATGCTCCAGAGACAGGAACACTTCTGGAATCTCTGACCAGAGCTCAGGATTTAAGGGAGTTACTTTAGTAAAAGAAAAGTCACTTTATGAAAAATTGCATCTTTACAAAAAGTGACACACCCTTCTTCATTTAAGAACAGAATATTGCAGTTACTGGTTGTGCTTTTAACCATTCCCATGTCACAATAAATAAAACCAGTTTTACTGGTGCCAATGTTACCTACGAAATAAAGTATTCACAGAACAGCCAAAGTGTTCTATTCCTCATACACCACAACCTAATATAGGTGTATTCAGCAAACAGAGCAGCTCGAAACCATGGTGACTTACTTTGTCCACACAGGACCCACCATCAACCAGAAAAATTATTCCCCTACCTATGGGACTGCAGATCATGTACCACCAGATTTACTGTGGAGATGCTTAATATTCTGTTTGATAACATGTCAGTTTTTTCAGGAGTTAAGTAAAACAAGGGAAAACATTAAAACAGATTAAGACTTATTCATATCAGCCACAGGCTCCTTATTGCATTTTAATAAATATCAGGCAAGTTAAAGTAGTTTCTGTCCCAGTAGTTGCCAGAATAAAGCCAGTCCTGTGTACCGGTGTAGGGATTGGGGCCTTGATGGAACCATCTGCAAGGAAACATACAGCATGTTAGTGAAATATTAACACACACTTCTGTAGAAGTTCAGAACTGCTTTGCTGCGTCTTCAGCAGTTTACTGTTCAAAGTAATGACTGTGATTGCAGAAGCCCTCTTGGTTTTAAATTCACTTATAAATTTAAAGTCAGCCTCAGTGGCTAGATCTCCCCACACACCACACCCCTTAAATCATAGAATGGTTTGAGTTGGAAAGGACCTTAAAGATTGTAATGCCCCAGCCATGGGCAGTGACACCCTCCACTAGCCCAGGTTGCTCAAAGCCTCATCCAGCCTGGCCTTGAACCCCTCCAGGGACGGGGCATCCACAGCTTCCCTGGGCAACCTGTTCCAGTGCCTCACCACCCTTGATGTCTCAGAGGTAAAATTACTGACACCAGTATTTTGTCACTTGAGGCAGTCAAGACTATCACATAAGAAGGAGTGAGTACAGTTTTACTTCAAAGCAGTTGTGAACAATCATTTTGGCATGCATAAGCAGTAACAGGTTTTGCAAGACATGGAAGCACCACAAGCACTGCAGTCCTGAAAACAGAAAAATGTTATTTCCCCAGGATCTAGATTTCCCCTTGTTTTTTAAAGGGTGGTTTTGCAATGCTCTTGACTCAGAACCAGTAGGCCAGCTACCCTCAGTGTAGATGAAGCATCATCCACAGGCTGCAGGGAAAGTCCTTGCTGTTACCAACTGAACTGTGTTACATTATGTTGTTAGCACTGGGGTGCTAATGAGAAGGGCCAGAAAGCTGATTCCATCTGCATGGAGTTACTTGCAAGCTTTTGCTAAGCTGGTTGTTGCTCGAATCACTGAAGTTTAGCACCTTTTTCTTTCCTCCCCTCTCCCCTCCTGTCTGATCCGGAAGCGGTGGGTATACAGACACACAGATTACATGTCCATGTGTACTTAACCTTTTGGTGGGGGGGCTATCTCTCTGTAAAATAAGGTGCACTTACAAGGCCCTTCTACTGGCAAGTATCCCCCAAATTGTGAGTACAATCCCATCAAATAACCCCAGCACTGAAGTTCGTCCATGCCACCCCGTTCCTGGCAATCCCGCCGCCCGTCACTGAACACTGCTTCTGCTGGGGCCTGGTACTCCGTCTGCCCCAACAGCACATGCTGCACCGGGCCAGACCTCCAGCATTGTGACTCCCTGTATTTTGCCAAGCCATGTTTATGGCACAAGTCAGCTTGCCAGAAGCTGTTTCTGTGGCTAACAGGCTCCACAGCTTCCTGCCACCTCCTCACCGGCCACAGCAGCCAGTTCTTTACAGGCCTCACTGAAGTAAACCACGCGTGTGCAAGGCGGCCCCTTTTAACTTCTCTTCCCTCCTGTGGTACCAGAACAGAAACTGAAGCACGTTCAGAACAATTATGCCTTGCTCTCTTTAAAAAGCAAAAGCAAGAAGGCCACCCGTATTGCAGTGTCGCGTTACGAAGCAGGGCAGCTAACGGGCACGTCTGGCTTGGCTCAAAGATCTGAGATGCACATCAGAAGAAATGCCTTGTACCATCTTCACGGTGGTAAACTGAACAGCTGAACACTTCAGTGGTTCTCTGCTGTCCTGGTTAAGGGAACTGGAGTCAACAGAAGTCATCCACCCCGGTACTGTATATAGTTCACTGCTGCATCTCCTCCATGCAGGATGCACCAGCGATGCCGAAGCAACTGGTGCATGTGCCTGTGTCTAGTTCACCTCGGAGCTCACAGGTAATAGCAGCTCATTCCAGAGCAAAACCAAGCGTCTGCTGAGACAGGGCTATGGGCACTGTCACGAATTCTACCAGCCTGTACTTCACTAGTGTGTCTCCAACACTTGGACAGGTCAGGACAATGTGCCCCTCCTCCGGTGATGCTACTGCTTCAATAGAAAGGGGAAAGGTGATGGGAAGAACTAAGTCTCTCTGCGAGACATAGGAGACCCAAAGCAATCAGATAATGTGGTCACATAAGTGACACGGGAAGGACGGGATGGACTTCAATTAAAAGCAACAGACCACTGCTGTGTTTTAGAATAGAGCTAGTCTGTTACTCAAGGGTTAAGACTACTGGTCAGTCTCTAAAACCTTAAG